GTGCTTCTGTGTCTGGGTGCTTTGCCCTTCTGGTGTGGGACAGAGGAGTCTGAGCACCTGACTCTTGGCTTTGCTGCTCGGTTGCCCGTGTGCCTCCTTACCAGAGACCATCTCCCAGGGTTCTGTCTCCAGGACCCATGAGAATGGGTCTATCAAACAGACCCGTTCCTGGGAGCGTCACTGCAGCCGTATTGCACAGAGCTCGCTGTTCTGCAGCCCTTTTAGCCAAGTGACCGAGTTTCACTGTGAAACAGGACCAGGAAAAGGATCAAGGTGGGGACTCTGTTTGCATCTGGCTTGCTAGAAACAATTCCAGAGGGTTACGAGCATGGGAGAAGCTGTGCTTCAATACAAATGCCTTGATAAGCAGCGAAAGGCTTTGCAAGAAGCATGACGGGCAATTCTGACTGTAAACATCACTGAATAATCACCACATACAGGTTGTGTGGTGACTTGCCTGGAAAAATCCAGCCAGGTAAGAGTTGTGAGTCAATATGGCCTTAGACTAATTAAACCCAGAGTTATTGGTTTGCTCCTGGTCTCTGCACCTCGGTGGTTATTGTAACTGCTGTAATATTTGGCTTGCTCCACCAATGTAAATGACAGCTGGGACTGGGAATGGTGATGAAGCCTTGTTACAGGAAAATTGGACTTTGAGATGAAGCCAAAGCCTGGGAATTTTGTAGGAGAGAGATCTAAACCTGCATCTCTCACTGGGGTCCGAGGGCTGTTGGATAGGTAAGGGTTTGTTTTTGTTTTTGAAGGGGGAAAGTAAAGCAGTTATTGAAACAAAATTTTAATATCAATGTTTGGGCTGTGATGGAGCTGGCCAGGCCCAGGGGGGCCAAAGGAGAGGCTGAGACCTCTGGGATCAGGAACCTCACTGGAGATGTGGGGGTGCAAACTCAAATCCTTGGTGTGCTGGGGTTCCTGATGCCTCTGATGATTGCCATAACCCAAGGACTCTTCTCAGTGCCTGTGGCTCTGGGATCAGCTTTGGAGACAAAACAAGGAGGGGAAAAAAATAAAATGTTTTCCCTATAATTCCAACATGCACATGAGGCAAAGAAGGAGCAGCTCACCTGTTCAGGGGTCAGTGATCCGGATGGCAATGTCCAGCCTAGCCTGTCTTCTCTTGTATTTTTGGAACTGCAGTTAATGCTGTTGAGTTTGTGGGACGCCTGGTTGTGGGGTGTCCCTGTGACCCTGCTGTCCCAGAGCTGGGGGTGATTTGTCCTGTGCTTGTAGCTGGAGCCAGGAGGAGGGTTTCATTGCTGTGGAATACTTGATGATATTCCTCTCAAGTTTACCTACAGCTAAATTATTAGTTGCTGTTTTAATTTCCTTTCTAATAAAAGAAGAGCAAACATCTCATTTTCCTTAGACTGGCTTTACATAAAGAGTGGGCAGCTTCATTTGTTGAGATTGTTCTGGCTTCAGTGTGAGAATTAGCATTAAAATGCCGGAATGCAGCGTGTGTAGAGGCTGTTCAAGTCTTCTCTGGAGCGAGCCAAACATGGGTGAGCTGGCGTCCTCCATCCCTGCAGTGCCACGAACCCGCTTGGCTGTCAGGAGGTGATCTGGGAGCAGCAAATGGTGGCTTCTGCTGTGGCATTTGTGACCCTGGCTGGCTGCAGAGGGGCTGGGGTCCTGGTGGGAGAGTCCTCTGGGATCTGCAGGCAGCAGCATAGGAGACCTATCAAGAGCTTTCATAGAATACCAGGTTGGGAGGGACCTCAAGGATCATCTGGTCCAACCTTTCTTGGCAAAACTGAAAGTGTGGTCTAGACAAGCACCAAAGTGTCCAATGTTGAGGAATCTAGCACTTCCCTGGGGACATTATTCCAGTGGGTGATTGTTCTCATTGTGAAAAATTTTCCTCTTGTGTCTGATTGGAATCTCCCCAGGAGTGACTTGTACCCATCACCCCTTGTCTTTTCCATGTGACCCCTTGTAAAAAGGGAGTCTCCCTCTTTGTAGCCAGCCTTTAGGTACTGGAACATGGTGATGAGATCTCCCCTCAGCCTTCTCTTCTCCAGGCTGAACAAACCCAATTCTCTCAGCCCCTCCTGACGTGGAGGCTTCCCCATCCTTTTATGATCTCTGTGGCCCTTCTCTGGTCCTTCTCCAGCCTGTCCACATCTCTTGTTTATAGTGAGGTTTTGGGGTTCTTAGGGCTGGAGCTGTCCTACAGCTGCCAGCTGTGTCCATTTACGAGCAGATGTAAGATTGTTTTGTTTGAAATCTTTCTTGGTGTAACATTTGTTTTCTGTTATGAGGTTGTATCCATTTGTCTGGCCCTTACCTGTGGGGGCTGTTTGTCCTGTAGCTGCTCCCGCTCTGCTCTGTCCCTTCACGTCAGGTGACTGTCCTTGCTGCGATGTCCTTCCCACTTCTATTTCTTTAGATATCTTTGATTTATTTTGTTTAGTGTGATAACCTCAGTCAATACAGTGCATTTTTTTTTTTTAATGAGTAATTTTCCACTAAACTGCATCTCTTGGAAGGTTTTTTTTGTGTGTACCTTGAGAGTGCAGGTTGTTTGTACTGTGTTGGCACCAAGGTGCTTGGTCAGAGCTGGAGTCCTGCTGTGCTGGTTGCTCCATGGGCACTGCAGAACCAGATGGTCCCTGCCCCACAGAAGGCAGTTCCTGGGGTAGGTGTGACTGCGGGCGTTGCATCAAAGCAGCCAGACACCAGCTGACAAATACTTGAATATGCTGCTTTAATTTGAATATGCTGCTAATTTAGTCGGAAGCTGGAACAAACTCTGTGCATTGATTCCTCGTTGTATTCTTGGGAGGTCTAAAATACACATTCTTGGTTTACGCTTTTGGGTGATTCACAGAGAGGATGAGTTCCCCTGATGTTTCCTGATCACAATGTTGCAGGAAACATTTTGGATCCCTGATGACCTGATTGAAATTTAAAAATTCCCACTCTTCTTGCTGGTTTTTTGTTTTGCTTTTTTAGTGTGATGTTTGGAGGTTTTTTGTGGGTTTTTTTTGTTTTGTTTTGGTTTTTTTAAGCAATATCTGTCATGGTTAGCAGCACAGCCCCACGAGCAGTTGTATCCCTTCAACATCCTCCCTGAGGGTTGCAGACGCCCCTTCCATGATGCTCAGCACATGGCAGTGGTGCAAGGGGAAGAACTGTACATGGTGACATGAAGGGCTTGCTAACCTCACCTCTCCTGGCCTCGCTGGAAGGTGCCCTGATGCTGCAGTGTTTGGCCACTTGCCACAATAAAGCACTGAGGAGGAAGAGGGAGCTTTTCTGTGGGTCTCTGGAAGTGGAGCTCTCCGTGTCCGTGGTGTTCCTGCGGCTGGAGTCGCTGCTCCAAGCGCAGGGTTGGGATGTAGGAGCTCCAGGAGTTGTATCGTGCCGTGTCCAGGGGAATTTCCCAGCTCTCTGAGCCACCTCCAGTCCCGAGGTCCAGATCTCGGTGATGTTCCCTGCTGTGAGTTCCTGACTTCGCTGTCAGCTCATCCGAGCTGCTGGTGTACAGGTGAAATCGCTGCCAGTCCTGCTCCCCGGGCTCACAAGCAGGCTCTGTTCTTCACCAGCACGTCGAGCAGAGCTGTGCACGGAGCTGACCTGTGTGCTTTGACATGCAGAGAGATGCTTTTGGCTTTAGATATGACTTTTTTTTTCTTAATCCGTATTTGTAAAAGGATTTCCTTTATTGAGCTGTCAGCTGTGTGTAACTGACCTTGGTTATATCTTGCAAAGGAGTTTAATTCCCCAAATGATGCCATTAAAGGTCTCCTCCATACAAGGTTTGCTTGGCCAAGTCTTGACCTGCTGTTTTTTCCTCCTCCCTGTGCCTTCAGAGAGAACATCTCCATAAGCAGAGCCCCTCCTACACCCACCTCTGCACTGTGAACCCTTCCCCCAGTGAAAGCAAAGAGTGAAAAGCAAGATGTTCTAGAGACACGAGAAGATGAGATCTGGGCACACTGGCAGCTCTGTATTTAGAAGGGAAGATGGTTAGGAACTCAACATTTAAGGACCAGACATTCAGCTGGACTAGTGCTGATTTCAGCAGGCTGAGGGAGGCTGACAACCAGGGATGGGAGTCGCCACCGCTCCGAGCAGGGTGAGACAGGCTGGATGTGAGAAGCCCACCAGCACCTCGGGAGCAGGACAGCAGGGGTCTGCCTGGAAAGGCTGCAGTGTTCACCCCAGGTCTGCAAGGTGATGAGGGGGCAGACAGAGGGACGGCAAATCCTGTGGCCTGGTATGAGCTGGCAGGGCTTAGCCAGCGAGGCTGCGAAGGGCACGGAGTCGGGAAGCAGTCTGGATGGAGCATGGCAGCTGGCAGAGCAAGGGAGGTTCATGGGGCTGTCAGTCTTGGCTGCCTCCTTCGTTAATGACACCTCCTTCATTAATAACAGCTCCTTCTCCAGCACTTTCTCTCCAGCAAGGCTCAAACCTCTCTGAGCACTCTCCACATCTCTCCTGCATCCTACAGAGACATGGTGACAAATGCAGATGATGTTTCCTGAGAGCTGAGGCAGCTCTCGGAGCTGCTCTGTGTTCCCCTGGCAGTGCTTTGGCCCTGATCACAGGACCACGCTCCCCCACATCATCCTGCAGAATCCCACCCTGAAAGTCAGGCCATCCCCAGCAGCCTGTGGGTGCTGGAAGAAGTCATTTCTGTTGCAAGCGTGAGGTTGCTTGAGGTGCCCAGAACCACTTCTGTTTAGCAGCAGCATGTGTTTTGGTGATCCCATCAATGTCCTCCTTGTAGACAATAACCCAGTTCAGCACATCAGCAAGGTGCCAGGAGCAGTGGGAGGTGTGGAGGGGACAATGTTATGAGTGGCACAGACTCAGTTGGAGGGCAGTGCTGGTTGCAAATAGCATTCCTGGTCACGTTCAGTGCCAGGGATCATTGAGTTTGGCATTGACTGACAGTTACAGTCATTTGGGACAGCTGTGTCACACGGAATTTGTCAAATCCCCATGAAAGGAAAGAGTGTAACAATAGTGTGAAAAGCATTAAATGTGAGGTTGGGTTACTCTTGATAAGATGTCTTTTCTCCAAGTGATGCTCGATTCCTGCGCTTAATTCTCCGCTCCTCGTTTTCCTACTTTGAAGTTTCTCAAAAACAAAACAACGCTTTTTTTTATACCTGACTTTTTGAAATAGCCAGTGATGCTGAGCAGATAAAGATGGATTGATTCTCCCTGAGACCCCGTGTGCTGTTAGAGGCGGTTAGAAAAGTCAGAGAGCAGAGGAGGTTTCCTCACAGACACGAAGCAAGCAGAGCATCCCGCGCCCGCTCCGCTGCAGGTCTCCTCTCTCTGGTCTGTGGCTGAAATTCAATGTTTTTTCCAACCATGTGTCTGTTCAACAGGTGAAGCAGATCATGGAGGAGGCGGTGACAAGGAAGTTTGTGCATGAGGACAGCAGCCACATCATCTCCTTCTGTGGTGAGTCTCTGGTGGTGGGATGTTGACGTGAACCCAGGGCTGGAGGACACTCTTCATGCTGGGCTTCCCCTGCCCAGCGCTGGGGTTGTGCTACGTGGGTTTCCTGGGGACACGCTCCAGCTCTGGGGTGTTGTGCTGGGGCTGGGGAGATGGTTAGTGCCAGAGGATGTTGTTCTGGCAGTGGTCCGAGTCCCTGAGGCCTTCACTCTGTGCTTAAAATACATTGAGATGTGTCAAAAGAGGGAGGGATGCTGACAGTGTCTACAGTCACTTGGGAAATATTAGAAATAATGTATTTTTTTTAATTCCCTTGAGAATTGATTCTACAGAAAGTCTATGAAGTCCAAATATTTCTTTGCTATTATAGAACAGGAATTTATGGAACAGAGTCTTCAGTCTGTGTGAATGGAGGAGCAAGAGGCTGGATGCTGCTAAAGAATTTGAAGTGGAGTTTGTGGGAGATCTGCTCTGGTATTGTGCAGGATTCGGGCTGCTTTTCTGGCAGCTCTGCTTTTCACTTAACCTGCTTTTTTCACCTTTTTTACCTTTTTTAAAATTTTTTTTCCCCCTCCTGGTGTGACATTTTTGTAAACATGGCAGTGTCTCAACTGCTGAAGAAGCTTTCTGGGGGCTGAAGAAGGTTTCTGGGGGCTGGACCAGCCCACAGAGCAGTGCTAAAGGCCCACAGCATTGGCTCCCCATCTCTTCTCTGACAGATGAAAACAGAATGTCACTGTTTAGTAAGATCACTGCTGATCAGCTGAGGAGACTTTGCAATTGAGGTGGCACATTTGCAGCTTTGGAGAATAACTGTCTGCCCTGGGCATGGTTGATGCTGGGGCAAAGCAGCTTCTTTGGCAGCTTCAGTTGTCCCGTCTGCCAAGTGCTGCTGGCATCAGTGTTTGCAAAAGTGGGAAGACCTGGCTGGTGGATGAGGGGATGTTTGAATTCCAAACCTAGGCAGAAACCAATTAGTCTGCTGATAACAGGGCGAGTGCTTCAGGCTGTTGGATGAGTGAGGTGGTTGTAGCCCTGGGTGTGGGACAGGCCCTTTGTGTGAGATGCTGCACGGAGAAGAAAATTTCTCAGCCCCTTGGGGGTGGCAGGTGGGATGGAGCTGGAGCCAGATGTGGGGCTCCAAACAAAGGTACCACATTAATCAGACCTGTGAGCTGTGGTGTCTGTGCCCTGTCAGTGTCAAGTGTTTACCCACTCACCTAGAGCTCGAGAGCATGCTTTGGCAAGGCGCCTGATGCCCTCCATCTGCCTCTGTCTCCTGACTAGCAGCTGTCTGAGAGATGGATACTGGTTTTGGGAGATGCCAGTGACCACTATGGAAGAAGAGCAAGTCCCCTGTTGTCCTCTAGTTGGTAGTTGGCTTGTACAATGGTGCTATTCCCAGGTTTTGAATTGTTTATATCCCCGTCTCTTGGCAGTGTTAGGTGTAACAGAGCAGCAGTCAGCATTGCAACAGACCCATCCGCCAGACGTGGTGGTTCTCCCTCCAGGTGCTGCTCTTGGAGTGATGTGGATGCAAAAGCTGCTGCTGCTGGTCACTGGCAGCTCTGGGCAAATAGTGGAGGCTGTTTGCTGAAGGGACTTGCTGAGGGCTCAGGATGGTGGTTGGTGTCTTACCCTGTTGTGATTCCCTGCTTGTGTGTGTGAGATGAAGCTCCATCCACCAAAACTGGTGGAATTGCCCTCTTTGGGATGCTCCTTGAATTTTGCAAGATGAAGCTCCTACACTGAACTCCTGGTGCAAGTGGTTGGGGTTTCCGCTGCCCACCCAGGACAGGGTGTCTTGTCCTGGAGTGCAGTGTCTGTCCCTGCTTGGAAGGGGCTTTTGGGAAGTGCAGTGTGTGCCTGTGCCCCAGCAGAGCTCGGGCATGGGCAGAGGTCGCCTCTGGAAGGTGGGTTGCTGTTTCTCCTGGCTCTCTCTGATCTCGCAAGCTCCCTGGCCGTGAGCGGCTGAGGAAGCTGTGCCTGCCCTGCCCTGCCCTGCAGCTGGCTGCCGTGCTCCCCTGCTGCCATCTCCCTTTCCTGTATTTCTACTGAGAAGACGGACAGAGGAGGCATCGCTGTAGCTCTGCTGGAAGATGCTGTGCTCCCTCTCTGCCCACTCACCAATTTTCCAGCCCTGGTGTCCGTGTTATCCACCACGTGCTGCCGCGGCAGTGTCTATGGCAACACGCGGGCTGATGGCTGAGCAGACAGGCTGCAGCGCCGGCGGCTGCTGAGCCGGAGTCTGGGCCCAGCTCTGCTGTGTCGTGGAGGTGATGTTACGGGCTCCCATGGCCTGAGCCTTCCTAAGAGCCATGACCTTCCTGGAGGTCTTTGGAGGATCCCTCAGGGCACCCCAGGGCAGAGCTTGGCCTCTGCAAAGTGCCTGGGAGCTGTTGGAACAGATCTTGGACACCTTGCTGACATGCAATGGTGAATCCTTGAGACCAGGGGCCTTCCCAGGCCAGCAGTTGCCTCTGAGGTGGCAGAAACAACCTGTGTTCCTTTCTGCAGGTACAGAGCTGCTGACAAACCTTCCCTGCTTTCTGCAAGAGGCAGCGTTAAGGGAGGGAGACTGGTTGTCCCCTGCAAACAATACGGCTGAAAGGGCTTTAGGAGTGACTGCTCCTGGCTTCTGGAAGAGCTGGGTGCTGGTTTTATCTGTGCTTTGCTGTTTGGTGCCACCTCTGCTGCCCAGGTGACAGCTAGCCAGTCCCTGTGGTCCCTGCTCGGAGCCTGGCATAGCTGCAAGGGGAAGAGTTGCTCCTGCAAATGGAGGAGCCTGGGCAAGCGCAGCCGGGCTCCCCCCGCTGCTGCGGGGTGTCTGCTCAGCATTGACACACCGAGGGCTTCACAGGGGGATGGGGACCTCACAGGGTCCTTGGCCATGCAAGTTTCTTTAAAGGACAAAGCAATAAACTCCCCTGTCATCCCCAAACATCCCCTCACTCAGCCCTGGGACTGAAGCTGCCATAGAACCTCTCTGCTGCTCTACTCTGACACCATGAGCCCTGGCTTCCAGGTCAGGGGGTGGCAGCCCCTGCGTGCGTGGAGCTCGCTGTGCCTGTCACTCTCAGCAGAGATGTTTGTGGAGTGACAGTCACCTGCGCTTCCAGCACACCCAGGCTGGGGCCATGTGGCTGCTGCTGAGCAAATACTGCGGAGGGGGAGTGGTGCTCCTCAATTTACAAATAGCTGAAGGGCAAGTTGCTAATTTGGAGGCTGGGAAGAAGATGACAGAAGTGATGACAAGTAGCTATTGAAGAAGTTGCTCCAAGGAGGCTCGTGCAGCACTCTCACCACTGAATGAGACTGTAGCATCCACAGACACAGTCACAGAAAAGGAAGAGAAGGGAGCTGAGAGGTCTCCTTTTCCTCTTTGGAGAGCAGGGAGAGGCTGCCTTCTTCCTTTTCTCCTGGGTCCTCACATAAAAGGCACGCGGATGCTTGTTTCAGGCCCGTGTGCCTTTGTACGCTGCTGACCGAATGGCATCGAATGAGCAGAACAGGCTTCAGGGTGTGACTCATTCGCTGCTTTTCTGTGCAGCACGAGGCTTCGCAGCCTGCAATTATTTATAGCCTCCTGCGACACGGAGCTGAGGCATCCAGGCACGAAGGGCTCGTCGGTTCCTTCTGGCTTCTTAATGATGCTGCTGCACTTTCTGGTGTCTACTCCTTCTGGTCTGTCTGCTGTTTGCTTTCATCTGAGTGGTGTGTGCACCTTCCTCGGTGTGGTTGCTCTCCATGAGCCGAGCGAGCTTATAAATAACCTCTTTCCC